ATACTTTACACTTACTAGCTGCATGACCCTGGGCAAGTCACTTAACCCCAATTGCCTCACCAAAAAAAAAAAATGTTGAAAACTAAAAATAAATGAATAAATAATTTTTAAAAAAAAGAAGAATGCCTTTCTTATAATAGGTTCTAAACAAGTATTTGGTGAATTGTGGGTCCGATCAATACTGAATGAAGGGTCCGGATCAATACAGAAGACATTTCACTGAAGAATAGACTCAGAAAGGTCCTCTTGGACCTTTATGGCATAGTTTTTCTTTGGGTCTACCGCCTTTCTTTTTCACTTCAGTAATCCCCTTGGACTTGATCTTCCAGGCAGCACTGGCTATACTCTGGACCATTCAAATCTAAATTTTCATGTATTTTTAGCATTTCAGTGTCAAGTTCTACAAACTTTTTCTAAATAAATTCCTATTCTGCAAAGTAATGTCCACTAGGAGAGCACCTAGTTGCTCTAAAGTTCAAGTCTCTTCACATGGACAAGTTGTTTTTTTAGGTAGTGAAAACTAGATAAAATAATAAAATGTTAAATTAAAAAATATAATAAAAATAGATGTGATTGCTGAACTCTTATAGTGATTGTACAATCTTGGAGATCAGGCTTAGTGCTGGATGACTGGGGAAGAGCAAACATCCCCATTGGCCCAAAAAGTAGATTCCAGGCAGAAACTACTGATTGATGAAATTGACATTGATCCCTAGCAAAATTCTAATCAGATTATTAAACTGATGTTTTGTGTATAATTAGAAAGGGAAGTGCTGATCACTCAACTGCATTCAAGAGTGTTAATGAACAGAATGGTCTCATTCTAGAGTATAGGTTCTTGACCTGGGATCCATGGATCTGCAAGGCCTCTAATACATAGATTTCAGAGAGTGTATGAATCTGGATGGGGGAAAAAAATACATCTTTTTTTTTCCCAGTAACTTTTAACTGAAATTTAGTATTTCCTCCAATTATGAGGGTAGGCAACAAACCACAGTAATACTGGGCTTCACCAGACTGCCAAAGCAATCTGTGACATAACAAAGTTTTTTAGTTAGGAGGAAGTTTCTGGTGGCAAACTTTAGGGCTCAATGCTTAGCCCTCTTCTTGTTTGAAGTTTTTAATGAGTGACTTAGATACAGATATGAATGATATGCCTGTGAAATTTCCAGATGACAAAAAGCTGGGCAGGAGTGCTAATTCCTAAATCCTAGAATTTGACTGCAAAAAAATGGGCTGCTTCTAACAAGGTGAAACATAATAGGGATAGATATAATATGCTGCACTTAAAATCAACTACAGAAATATCTGGAATAGGGATAATGACTAGAAAGTTCCTGTGAAAGAGACCTGGGGACTTTGGTGGGCTGAAAACACATTGAGTCAACAGTGAATGTGACCTTAGGATGCATTAATAGAAGTACAGTGTCCAAAACACAGGAAGTGACAGTTCCATTGTGCTCTGCCCTGGTCAGGCCACACCACATGGGGAAGACAGTGTTCAGTTCTAGGCATCACATTTTAATTAAAAAACAACATCAACCTGGAACTTAAACTATTTCATATGAATTTATGACAATAATGACTCACATTTATTTAATACTTTAAGGCTGACTAAGCACTTATCTCATAACAAACCTGTGAGGTAGGTAGTACAAGTATTATTGTCCTGTTTTGCAAATAATTCCACTCTCTGGGTTATAAATTGCAGAGAATGTACCAACATGCATTGGTAGAGGGAATTTCTTCATCTGGGACCTCTCTATACCAATGAAATTACTGATTCAGTCTTCTATTTACAAATGTGTAAACTGAGACTCCAAAGTTTTAAGTCTGAGAGCTGGGGCTCTAATCCATGTCTGTTGATTACAAGATGAGTGCCTTCCTTCCTCCTTCCTTTGGCTCTGCACCTGAATGAAATCATCCATCCGTTCTAGCTCTGACTCTTTACGAAAGCATGCCACATGCTTTTGTAATACTGCCCTTCTCCCAGTTAACTGTTCTACATGGATGTTCTGAGATAACTATTCAGCTCACTGCTTGATTCCCCACAGAATGTCTTACTCTATTGCTAGACATATCACAGTTCATCAATCTAACAGCAAAAGTAGTTGAGACATGAAATGACATATAAAACAAAGAAGGGATCAGTCAAGGAATAAAAACATTCTTTGCACTCATACTTAATCCTCCCCAGGAGTTATAGAGATTAGAGGAAATTCAATATAATTGGTTTCCTTTGTAACCCTATGTATTTTATATTATGAATTTAAAAACGTTGTTCTTAAAAAGACTTCATAGAATTAGAATATAACCCCCCACACACACACACAGCAGAAGGGTACAATCAATCTTAGAATCACAGACCATGTGGTGGATGCTTAGAATATGGTAGATAGAACAGGAGTCCCTCCAGCAGGAGAAAGTGATGGAAGTCCTTGCTCTGGTTCTGTGATTATCAACATGATGCATACATGATGCCATGACAGCTGTTCCACACAGTCTTCTTGTCTCTCTCTCTCTCTATCCTCAACCTCAAGTAGGGCTTTGAGCCCTACTGCTTCTCAGCACTTGTCCTTTTTAAACCATCAGCTTTCAAACACCAATCATAATCCTTATCTGGTGGCTGCACAGCCCAAAATCATGTATTATGGGAAATTAAGTCCACCAACATAATTTCCACTTATATTGTTTTTGAATGTTTATTTTTTCAATTATCAAGCATTTATTCCCTCTCTTCCACCTTCTTCCCCCAACAAATTTAAAAAAATTTAGAAAAACAAACAAAACACTTGTTAGCAAATATGCATAGCTGAACAAAGCAAATTCCTGCATTGGCCACATCCCAAAATGTCTCATTCTGTGTCTTGAATCCATTATCTCTCTGTTGGGACATGGGTAGCATATTTCATCATAGGTTCTTGGAACTGTGGTCAGTTGCTGAATTGATGAAAGTTCTTAAGGCTTTTAAAGTTGTTTTTCTTTACAATGTGTTGTAGCTCTTATAAATTGTTCTTCTCCTGCTTACTTCACTCTGCATCAGTCCATATAAGTCTTCCTAGGTTTCTCTGAAAATATGCCTTTTGTTATTTCTTATGGCATGATAATTTTTTATTACATTAATATACTATAATTTGTTTAGTCATTCCCCAATTGATGGGAACCCCCTTAATTTCCAGTTCTTTACTACTACCAAAAAATGCTACAAATATTTTTGTATTATAAATTTTTTTTCTTTGATCTCTTTAGGTATATTTACATTGTCTTAATGGTGTGAATGACTGTCATACATTCAGCTTAAATTATTAAACTTTTTTGAAGTCGTTTAGAAAATATTCCTCATGATATCTGGTGTATAGCAGATGATTACTTTTGTATACAGAAAATCATGTGTACATGTTTCTTGATGGATTGTGTCAACTTTGAGCAAACAACTCAGTCCTAAACAATCCTGGCAGAAGAAGGGAAATAAATATATGCTCAGTTACTGAACTAATAATATGTTACATGTATTAGTGACAGTGTGCCAGATTCTAATTTGAGGAAGATAAAAAAGGGATAGTTAGGTCTTAATGAGTATCCAGTCAATGCAATAAACATTAATTATGTGCCTACTATGTACAAGTGATTGTGCTATACACTGCTGGCACAAATATAGACATAAAACAGCCCCTGCCCTCAAAGAAATTCTACTAGATGCAGAGATTCTTAATTTCTGTGGTTTGAACTTATAAAAACCATCTTTTAATAAGCATATTCAATACGATTGGCTTTTATTTTATGCATTTAAAACATTATTCTGAGAAGAGGGCCACCCATAGGTTTCACCTGCCTATGAAATAGGTCCATGACACACAAAAGGTTAAGAACCCCTGTACTACATGGCTGTAACACGTACATGGACAAATATAAGGTAAATAATTTGAAGAGGGAGAGAACACTGACAATTGGGGGGACAAGAGGGTATCAGGTAATGCTTTGAGCAGAAAGTATGGTGCTTGACTGAAACCTTGAATGAATTTATGAATTCTAAGTAAGACTCAAGGGACAAGGCGGTGCATTTCAGGTATGGAGAACAACCTTCTGGGCAAAGATAGACTGTCAAATTCTGGGAACATCTAGTGCAATATGACATAGTTTGACTACTATGCCACCCCTTTGCTGAAGTGAAAGGTCCAGTAGCGTACATTTCTAATGCTTTTCAGACTTTTTTGATATATTGATTACTTGTGCTGATTCTCCCCCCCCCCTTTCTTTTCTGTCTTTAAAAAATACTGTTTGTTACATGGAATTATTTGTTATATGACTTTTTGGGATGTCAGGGTACTGGGATACCCAATGCATGGTATGGTGATGGTTAAAAAAAAAAAGACACCGTTAAAATTTATTTAAAAACATAGAAAAGATGGCATAGTGTGGAAACGTAGGTTGGGACCAGGCTGAGGAGTTTGTAGTTCTTTGAGCAACTGGAGGTTTTTGAGGAAGGAGGGTCTTGGTCAGCCTTGGATCTTGGGGGAATATTATTAATTGGCAGCTAGATGGAGGATGGATTGGAACCGGGAGAGAATAAAAGCAGAGACACTAATTAAAAGGCAAACTCAGGAGTAGTTGGACTAGTCGAACTTCCTCATTTTACAGGTGAGGAATTTGAGGCCCGGGGGAGAAAGGCACTCCCAGAAACTCGGAGTCTGGAACCTTTCAGGTACGTGTGCGCTCCTGCAATCGCCCTTTTAAACAGGAGCCCAGAACCCTTTACATCCAGGAGGGAGGAGTTCCTGGGAGGCGCCGTTGCCCTTTTAAGGCGAGGCCCCGCCCCGAAGGCCGGACTTGGGAGCTCCTTAAAGGGGCTGGGGCAGAGAAGGCTCAGGTTCTCCCGGGGGGATTAGCGTGTGCCCGCCAGCGGCCGGAGCCGCCATTTCCCGGAGTCCCCGAGGAGGAGCCCGCGCCCCCAGCCCGCCCTTGGCCGGCCGGGGACCCCACCTGGAGCGGAGCGTGCTGCTCCGGGCCCGGGGCCTCCCCGCTCCCTGCCCCTCGCCTTCGACTCCTCTGCCGCGGCCGCCGCCTCCAGGTGAGCGAGGAGCCGGGGCTGCCCGCCCCGCCCCGGGCCAGCTGGCCGGCCTGCGTGCGTGCGGCCCGGGGGGCCAGGAGCGCTCCCGCCGGGCCCGGCCAGGCCGCTCCCCGAGGCTTCCCCGTCGGCCCCCGCCCCGCTCCCGAATTCTCAGTTTCTCATCCTCCTGGGCGCCGGCCCTTTCCAGCCGAGCCGGCGCTGGTCCGCCCCCCAGGACCCCGGCCTCAGCCCCCAGCCCCCGCTGCCTCCTCCCTTCGTCCTCACCGTCCCCTTCTCCGGAGTCTGCTCCCCGAAACGAAGGCGCCACGGCGCCTTCTGCCCTTCGCTTTCCCCGGGAAGGGCTAATGCAGCTTCTTTGTCCTGTTTACTCTTTCGGACCCATTCTCTTCCCCGACCCTACTCCTCCTCCTCCTCCGTCCTTGCCTTTTCGGAGCCGTTTCTGCCCTCGGAGCCCTGGCTAGCTTTGTCCACACTCCGCATTCCTTTCTGGCCGCCTCCCCCTGCCCTCTCTTCCCTTCACATCGGGCCGGGCGTCCGCAGCCTCTCCTGAGCTCCGGGGTGTGGACCTCCCTTCGGTGGGGGGTGAGCCCATCAGTATCTGGGTTACCTGTCGGCGGGAGGCCTTGGGCAGAGGCTGCCACATGTTGACCCTTCCCATACCCCCGTTCAAATAACACTGCTTTAAAGGGGAGTGGTTCGCAGCCAATGGGAATGTAGAGCGAGCGGAGTTTCAGGTGTTACTGATGCTGCGTGTCCTCGGAGGGAATCTCTGCCTGTTTCCGTAAACAAAGGCTGCAATGTCCCCGAGGGAAGAAGCTGGGTTAATATTCCTGCTGGCTTGGTCACACTCCAGTCCCTCTGGAGCTTGCTAAGTTCTCGTTAGACTTAGTAAGCCATTTCTGTTTATTTAGCTTTAGAAACTGCACTTGTCCCTGAAAAAGGGGCGGTTTTTTTTTTTTAATTTATATGCACTTGTTAGCTTTGGAAAAGGGGATGTTGCTGGCGGGATTTTAGGAGGTTTTAACTGAATGGGCTCCTTACGATTTCGTTTGACCCTCTAATAAAGTTCTCAGTTTGATTATGAAATTTAGGGGCTGCTGGCAGGTGAGTTTTTAAAAAAAATGAAGTAATCAAGAGCTTTGTTTTAATTTTTTCCCGTTTATGCCATTTGGTTCCTGAATGAACATTGAAATCCTCATCAACTGTCTAGTTGTTGGGGTTTTTTTTTTTTTTTATGTCTGCAGTAGAGGAAACTTGGCTTCTTTTAATCTTTATTCTGTCTTGTTAGTTGAAGTAACTTTTGTATTTTTTAAAAAACTATGTAGTCTTCAGTTAAGATTTTTAAAAATAAATGTCTTACTCTTTAAAAAAGGTCATTGATCCTTTCCATTGGAACTAAAAATATATATTGTTTCCTCTTATTAGAATGTGACTTATTTGAGGGCAGGGACTGCCATTAATGCTTTAACATTCTTTTGTTATTTCCCCTAGCTTATTGGCTTACCTATTATCCCCTTCTCCCTCTCCTTTTCAAACCTCCATAACTCTTTCTTTAACACCTGATAGTCTGACTTCTGGATCCACCACTTTACTTAACTAGTATCTCAAAGGTCACCAGGGACTCCTTAGTTGAAGTGTAGTCATCCTACACCCTGACCTCTCTGTAATGTTTGTCATTATTGACTACTCTCTCTTTGAAACTCTCTACTTTTGTCCTTTATCTTTCTAAATCAAGTATTTTTAAAATCCCCTACTAAGTGCCAGGGACTGTTAGATGCCATGGATATCAAGACAGAAATAAACCTGCCCCTACCCTCAAGGTACTTATATCCTGTGGAAAACAATTTACAAAGATACAAGATAACTTTTTGTTGGGGGGAGGAGGCAATGACTGCTAGGGGATCAGGAAAGATCTTATGTAGGAGGTAGTGTTTTAGCTGAACTTTGAAAGAAACTTGGGATTCATAGAGGTGGAAGTGCATTCCTGGCATGCAAAGGCACAGAAATAGAATATGGAATGTATGAGGAATAACACAAAGACCAGTTTGGCTGGAGCATAGAGGGCATGAAGGAGAGTATTGTCTAATAAACCTGGTAAGGGGGAGTGGAGCCAGGTTGTGAAGGGCTTTAAATTAGAAACTGAAGAGTTTACATTTGATCCTAGAGGCAATTGGGAGCCAATAGAGCTTTACTGAGCCAGGAAGTGATGTGGTCAGACTTTTGCTTTTTGTCAGCTATGTGGAGGGTGGATTGGATCAGGGAGAGACTTTTGAGGCAAGGAAAAGTTAGGAGACTTGAAACAGTTCAGGCAAAAGTTGATGAGGACCTGAAATAGGGTGATGGTTGTATGAGTGGAGGGAAAGGGACTGATGGGAGAAATACTGTGGAGGTAGAAGTGGTGACTAATTGAATTTGTGGCGTGAGATAGAATGGGGAGGCCAGGGGTTCAGGGTTTGATCCTGGTGACTAGAAAGGAAGTGGTGCCCTTGACAGGAGAGAAAAGAGGAGTTCTCTTTTTTGGACATGTTGAATGCATGTGTGTGTATGTATATGTATGCATACATGTATATGTATGAATCAGACTGGTAGAAGGAGAACTGGGAAAGTAGTATCTTTTTGTAAAAAATTTTTTAATTGTTGCATGTGAAAACAATTTTTTAACATTTGTTTTTAAAACTTTTGAGTTCCAAATTTTCTCCCTTCCTCCCTCCCCACCCACCCTCATTGAGAAGGCAAGCAACTCGATACAGGTTATGCTTGTGTAATCATGCAAAACACTTCCATAGTAGTCATACTGTGGGAAACTTAACTATCTTTCCCTTCATCCTATCCCGCCTCCCGTTTATTCTATTCTCTCTTTTGACCGTGTTCATTCTCAGAAGTGTTTGCTTTTGATTACCCCTCCCCCAATCTGCCCTCCCTTCTTTGATTCCTCCCTCTTCTTATCTCCTTTCCCCTTATTTTCCTGTAGGGTAAGATGGCTTTCCATACCCAATTGAGTATGTATGTTATTCCCTACTTAAGCCAAATCCGATTCGAGTAAGATTCATGGAAAGCAGTGTCTTTGTACATCATTTTTGTTCTGTCCTTATGCCTCTTCTTTAAATTTTCTCTTGGGGATAATCTTCCATTTTTATGTTCAGACCATTTTCTCAAATCTTTAATCATGTAATTTCTCTGTAGCTGCATACTCACAACTCCACTTGATTGTTGAACACATTCACCTAGGAATCTCATCAGTACCTTAAACTTATTAATATCTAAAAGCAGACTCTTTGTTCCTCCAAGACACATTCTCTTGACTTTGTTTACTTATGATAAATATACCATTATCCTCACAGTCAGAAAGAATGGAAACCATGACATCATCTTTGACTCCTACCTGTCTTTTTGCTTCTAATCAATCCTGTTGATTCTGTCTCCCTAGTTAATTTGCCCCTGTTTTTTTTCTCTTCCCAGTGTCCCCACCTTAGATTGGGCCTTCATCCCTCACTTAGACTGTGTTACAATCAGTCTTCCCACCTAAGGTTCTCCATTGCAAGCCATTCTATGTCCTACACATAGGTGTTAGAATAATGCTTCTACAGCATTGTACTGATCTTGTCACATTTGTACTGAGAAACCTTTAATGGTTCCCACAGCTTTACAGAATAAAGTCCAAGTTTCTTGCATGACATTTAAGGCTCTTTATACTCTGGAAAACTGTTTTTCTTTTCCTTTTTATGTACCCTGTGCTTTAGCCAGATTGGGCTGTTGGTAATTCTTTGAATGTGATTCATGCTTTCCTTCCTCCTTACTTTTGCACATGGTTCCTTTGTCAGGGATACCCTTGACCTCTGCCCTCGGGGGAAAATCCTTACCTGTCCTTCAATGTTCAGCTCAATTGCCATCTTTTTCTTAGATTTTTTTTTTCCTTTTCCAAAATATAGAAGTATAATCTCTTCTTCCTCTATTGTGTCCTCTTGATTTTTAACAAATCATCTTTCTTCCTCAATCTGTAGGGATCTCAAATAAATCATTTTCTAAAAAGAACTCATCTTTCCTTTCCAAATTTGTCCTTTTTAATATTTCTATCAGCAATTCCACCATCTTTTTCAGACACTTGGGTCGATAGCCTCCGAAACCTCCTTGTCTTCTTACTCTCCCTCACTCCATTTAACCAACCAGACTTATCTATTCTACCTCTATAGTATCTCTTAGGAGGTAGCTAGATGGCTCAGTGGATAGAATGCTGGGCCTAGGAAGTATCAGGAAGGCCTGAGTTCAAATCTGGCCTCAGACACTTACTAGCTGTGTGACCCCGGGCAAGTCACTTTAACCTCATTTGCCTTAAGCCACTGGATAAGGAAACTGCAAATCACTCCAGTATCTTTGCCAAGAAAATGCCATGGGCAGCATTGATGTGCTATGGAATATGGGGTAGTGAAGAGTTGTAGTGAACAATTGAACGACTGAACAACAGTATTTCTTACATCAGTCTCTTTCTGCCCACTCACGTATCCACCGCTCTAGTTTAAGCCCTGGCTTACCTTTGTCTGGGTTGAAATACCTCCAGATTATTCTCCTGTCCTCAAGTTTCTGCCTTTTCTAGTTCATCTGCCAAAGTTTTCCTGAAGTGCAGGTGTGATTATGTTCCTATTCATTAGACTCTGATGACGCTATTCCCTTTCATAAAATAGAAAACTCCTCTGTTTTCCAATTAAATCTTTTCACAGTCTGCCTCCAACCTTACCTTTCTAGACTCATATTTATATTACTATGCATATCATATGTTACCCTGTACTTTGGCCTTCCTACTGTACCTGACACATTGTACTTTCCCATCGCCATGCCTTTGCACAGGGTGTCCTGGATGCATTCCCTCCTCATGTTATGTCAGCCTTTTAGAATTCTTGTTTTCTTCAAAACTTGGCTCAAGCATTGCTTTTTTTTATCCCCTCCAGCTGCTGGTGCCTTCCCCATCCAATAACCCTATATTTGTTATGTGCACGTTCTCTTTCCTGACAGAATGTAAGTCCTTTCAGGACAGGGATTAGATAATTTTTGTCTGTATCCTCATCACTTACTACCAAGGTACTTACTAAATGTTTGTTGGTTGATTAGTACCTGGTATGGTGGGCATTCAGTAATTGTTGATGTCTCTCTTAGGGCTCATTCCTAATGTACTCTCCTTTCTGTAGGAAGTTAAGATTTTCTTACCCATCATCAGAAAGGCCTGTACTTTGAGTAGGAATAATGGATTGGCAGTGATGTAGCCATCCCTTCTTTTGTGATACAGTAGATGGCATTCATGTTCAATATGGTTGCCTTTGTGATCATAGAATGAAATGGATTTAACTGACCTCCATAGGAATCGGATGACAACTCTGGTTGTATCATAACGTATTTGTGTACATGGATTCCCGTTTTTAGATAGTTAACTCTTCACCTTTGTATCCCCAGCACTTACCATGCTACGAGCTTTGATATAGTAGGTAGAAAGTAACTGGTGACTTTTTGTCTTTCTGAAGATTCAAGGTTATCCAAAGCAGGCCATATAAGAGGCTGGTGTAGATAAATTCAAGTTACTTGTCCTTTCCTTTGTTTCCGTGGTTAATCACAGGTAGTGCTCTTGTCAAATGTTAAGGTTTTATAGGTTAAAAAAAAAAAGCATGGCATGCTGTACTAATCTTTAAAAGAGAAAGCTAATTTTTTCTTTTTACTTTTGATTTCTTAGTGAGGAAGATGCTAAGTTTTTTCAGACGAACGCTGGGGCGCCGGTCAATGCGAAAGCATGCTGAGAAGGAACGTCTGAGAGAAGCCCAGCGAGCTGCTACCCATATTCCTGCAGCTGGAGATGCCAAGTCCATTATTACATGTAGGGTGTCGTTGCTAGATGGAACTGATGTCAGTGTGGATTTGCCGGTATGTAGCATTTAATCGAATTTTTTTCACTTTTGTATGGATTAAATTTCTTGTCGGAATCATCTTGGGTCAATAAATGAAAGTAAATGTACATTTATGTGTCAGAAAATTTATTAAAACTAAGAGGAGAAATAGAAGTTGGCTTTTTTGGGCTTTTTGATTAGAGTATAATTGGCATGTACATATCAAACAGAAAATTTGACTTCCTAAAACAGCTGTATAGAGTTCTTGGACAGGATACTGTTTATTAATAGCAGAAAAGGCCTTTATAACCCATTAAAGTGATAGTCTAAACCACCAGCAAGCATTTTGGGCTGTGCACTGTGCTTGATGCTGGGGATATAAAGACCGAAGTGGAACAGTCCCTGCCCTTATGCAGTCTGCCCTCTTTCTGTTGGGGGGAGATAACATAACATTCAACGGTGTATATATAAGTGTATGCATAACAAATACAAGTGATCACTAGCAGTTGGGTAGGGGAGTGGGGAATCAAGGAAAGGTGTCATGGTGGTTTGAGCTGAGCCTGATTACTTGAAGAGAGTAAGGGATTCTTTGAGGTGATGGGAAAGAAGGAATACATTTCCAGGCAGGGGTGACAGCTAGTGCCAAGGTGCAGAGACTAGAGATGTAGTGCCAAGGGACAGGGAGAAGACTAGTTTGGTTGAACTAAGGTTGGAAATGTAGGTGGGAACCAAGCTGAGAAGGGCTTTAAATATAAAGCAGAGGAAGTTTTATCCTACTGAGTTAGAGTTAGAAAAATCACTTTTACAACTCTGTAGTGAATAAATTAGAGTAGGGAGAGACTTGAGGCAGAGAAATGAATTAGGAAGCCATTGCAGCCATCCACAAGAGAGGTGATGAAGGTCTGAGCCAAGGTGGTGACTGTGTGAGTAGTGAGAAGGCAGTGAGAGACAATATATTAGAAACACATGAGATTTAGCAACTGATTATATGTGCAAAGTGAATTACTCTGAAGTTGTAAAGGGAGATTGGAGAGAGTGATGCTGTCAAGAGAAATAGGACGGTCAGGAGAAGGGTAGCTTTTGGGGAAGGAGGAGTTCTATTTTGAATGTGTTGAATTTGAGATGATGTCTCTGGGACACCTAGCTTTTTAAATATCTACTAAATGATTGGTAAATTGTCAAATTAAATTTAATGGTGCCTTTAGCAGTTTGTAGGACTTGAACTCTGGACTGAGGTTGGTTGTTTTTTTCTGTGCCTCATCTTTTAGTCTAAGTAGGCAAAGAAGCGATACATACTTTTGACGCTATATTCCTGTCTTGTTGTTTCTAAGTATGTAAGTGGGTATCTTTTCCTTTCATTTTCTTTTCCCCTTTGCCTTGCTTTTCTTTGACTCAAATCTTGTTAGTGCTCTTATCTCATCCTTGAGAATTTGCATATAAGGCATTACATAATCACAGATAACCTTTTGGTTTTTTCATTTGTCTGCACTAAGAAACTAATCAAGTTAAATTGTTAATTAAGTACATGTTTCAAATAGTTTTAAAAAGCAAATTTCAGTAGATATTCCTTAGTTTCCACTCCTATTTTTAAATTAAAAATTTTTATTTTTATTATTTTTTGTTTTTACATCATATTTATTTCCAAATATTCTCCTCTCCTCTTCCATACCTACTGATTAATTTCTTCCAATAAAGATTTAAAAAGAGATAGAAGAAGCAGTTTAGTAAACAGTCAGTATAACATCTATGTCTGGCCATATGCAATAATCCACTTATGAAAATACCTGTCTGTGCAGAATGGATATGTCCCCCAATACAAAACCTTTAGTAACTCCCTGATTCCCACCAAATAAAGGATAAACCCCTGACTTTGAGGTTAAGGGACCTCCAGAGTCTAGCTTTAACAACCATCTAGCCTTATCTCCTTGTACTCCCTTTTTCTTATTCTGTGCCCATTGTTCTCAGTAATGCTTCTCATTCTCATTCCCGTCTTTGAGTCTTTATGGGCTCTGCCTGGGATGGATTCTTTCCCCATCTAAGTTGAAGTTTGCTAAAGTTCCAGTTCCTGATGCTGACTCTTTTCCCTTCTTCACTGGAACACAGATGATTACTATGGGAGATATATATATATCTATATATATATATATATATAGATATATATTTTCACTTAGCTTTATTAAAGTTTTTGTAATGTTGAATTTTTTTTTCTTTTTTTGCTGAGTTAGGAACACAGAGGTATGCAGTGTAAGTTGTTATTGTATTTTGTTTTTGTACAGACTGGTAACTTCATTAGATTAAGGAGCTTCCAGGGAGTAAACTCCCACTGCCAGTGTAAATCAGCAACTGTCCTGCTGCTGATAGCTTTAGAGTTGCCTGGGACACTGCGCCCAAATTCATGTAGCTGGTATGTGTCAGGGAGGTGGTTGCCACCTCCAAAAGTGACTGTCCATTACACTATCCTGCCTCTTGAGTCATTATGCTTTCAAATTTTCATTTGTCTTAGTAGAGGATTATTAATAGTTTCTCTGTGTTTCCCCACAAATTTCTAATGTTACTTTACCTTTAGTGGATTAACCCTTATTGGAGTCCTCAGGCAAAAGCTGGATGTTTCCTTTGAAGATAGTTTTATGCCATTTTATCTTCTTTATGTACTTGATATGTTTCCAAGTCATCCCTTCCCCCACCCCACCTGCCTGAACTGGTGAGTTCATTGCTCGTAGGGCCTCTGTTGGATTTCTTTGTATTAATGCAGTGCCTTGCACCTAGGCACTTAATCATTATTGAGTTGTATTGCTGGTGAATGGAATGTTATCAATTTAATATTCTCACTAACTGAAAATATTTGGATTGAGGATCATAGAATTTTAGAGTTGGAAGGGATTAGATTAGTGAGATTCTCTGAGAACACTAAGCCCTGGGGAGGTGATGTGACTTGGCCAAAGACACACGGGTAATAAATAACAGAGCAAGGATTCAACTCTCAATCCAGGGCTGCTTTTTTTTTTTCCCCACTCTATCATGCTGCCATAATTTAGATTTTGTTTTAAAACATGATTTGGAGTACATTTTCCCAGGAAACATAATGATATCAATCTTAGGTCCCTAGCTGGCAGACAGCTTACTTAACATATAATTTCATAAAAGTAAATAAATACCACATTTTCCCTATAATTCTGTGGGAAAAATAGGTTCTGTTTCTCTGGTTATATCTTTGCTTTCTGGGATTTTCTAGGTTCCAGAAGAAAATTTCTTACCCCTTTCTTGCCTGCCTTCTTTTTAGTCTTATCTCACATACTGACAAAAGGGATTATTTCTTTTTCTTCCTCTTTTGGCTACACTGACAAGAGGGGACTTTGACTCCTTGTTTAGGAGGGAGGGAAGGGAATGGGAGAAATAGAGTCTTAGTGGGGATGATTCCAGAAGCTATTGAAAAGTTTTCAATGGGGTTTTGCATTATTCTGTCTGTGAGGTGGGCAGGTTGAACTGAGGTGAGTCTGCAATGTCTATAGGCTTAATTGGTGAGAGGTATGGGGTGGGGTAAAAGGGGGAGACTGCGAAATGGACTTGGGCAAAGGAGGCAATAGCATGGTGATGGGGAGTGAGGGGGAGTTCTGGGGTTAAGTGGAGAGAGGGGATAGAAGGAGCAGCACTTGACAGCTATAGTGGCAGGGAGGAGGAGAGATTCTTCAAACTGCCAGCCAGGATTGAACATTATGGAATTTAATCTTTACCTGTGTAGAATTTGATCTTTATCTATGTGTCATAAATTTTTTTTTCTTTTTGGGTAAGGCGATTGGGGTTAAGTGACTTGCCCAAGGTCACACAGCTAGTATGTGTCAAGTGTTTGGTCTGAGGCCGGATTTGAACTCAGGTCCTCCTGACTTCAGGGCTGGTGCTCTATCCACTGCGCCACCTAGCTGCCCCCATAAATTTTTTAAAAATGAAAATAAAGTAAAATGTACTTAAATACCCAAACTATATTGAATATAAATCTTTGATTCAGAATTTTGAAATGCCCTAACGTGCCTCTATGAGCATTATATTTGTATATTGATAAGTATGATGTAATATAATGGAGAAAAATACCTGGTTACTGAATATTGATGGTTTGAATTTTAAATAAATAGGTATTTTCATAGGTAGGGTACCTCAGATCTTCTGAGGGTTCTGGGTGGTTCACACATTCTAACATTCTTGGCAAGTTGGGTAATGAAATTTCATATTCATTTCTTGTTTGAATACTTTTCTCTAAGGGAGTTTTGAGTACTGTTTCCCTGTGACAGCTTGAATCAATATGGTGAAAAGCCTGAGGTTGCTATGCACAAGCAAGCAGCTAGAAAATAGTTCCTTTATTACCTAATGTTTGAAGTATGAAGTCTCAGGATTACTGATGAAGTTGCTGATAGTAGTGGGATAAATTTGTAAAGTAACTTTTATTTTTTGTTTTTAAACACTTATGTGGTGAGGAGCTCAGAGTTCCTAAAGCAGTGGATCAAATGGCCTGTAATCTCCTGGCACGATGGGTACCCATTAGGATGTGTGCAGTGTCTGAATGCCCCCTGGTCCTTTCTTTGTGAGGATATCTGCAGCAAAACAGGAAGAATTTTAGATTGGATTATTGGTAAAACTTAACAATTATGTTTTAAGTTCTGTAAGTGATTTTTAGAACTGGTAACCCAATTCTAGTTACTTGGAAGGGAATAATAAAATGAGTTTCGGAGTACTAGCTGATCTACCCAAGGAAGAGACAGAGAAATTGTCAGTTCTTAAAAAAAGAAATAACTATTCTCTCCTTCTTATTTATCTCTTCACTCCACACAGTATGGCCTTAACCTAAAAAAAATTAGAGTAGTCATGGGATTTAAGTGATGTGCATACCATAGGTTATCCATAGTTGTATATTTCCTGTTACATGGTAAAAGTTCATGAAAATAAGGAAACAGTTCAGCCACAGATAACCTATCACTGAGCCATCTCCTTAGTTTTGCCTCAAACCGCCCCTCCCCCCCATCCTAGGTAAAAGGTTCCAGCTCTCAG